ACACCACATACTTTGTTGAATGCCTCGCTCTAGTCCAACTCAGACGATCCATGTTAAGAGTGTCCTGACCGGACATGGTTACGATGATTAGAGCCGCCTCCCCTTCCAGCATCCTTAGGTTCATCTCACGTGCGGGATGGCTTGAGTGACGTTGAGGGGTCGAACGACTCTAGTCAGAGAGGTAGTACAAAGGGCCCGAATTTGAGGCGTAGGTACGCGTGGACCCTGTCTACCTTCCTATCGTAATCAAGAATCGGTCACAAAAAGAATTTGATATCATCAAACATACATTCATTTTATTTCGTTCTTGGCCGTAGACGTAGAGGAGAATCTACGGGTACCTCTAGAGCGCACAGTTCGTGGAGGCTGAGAGTCAAGATGAGTGATGACCGCCAACATTTGTGTGCAGGAGCTATGGGGTACCGTACGACGATTTTCAAAAGTTTGAACGGCACAATTCAGTAAGCATCGAGCACAAGTGATTGCCATTATTGCTTATTCCATATCTGTAAAAAACGTGGGGGCTAGGAGTCAAGTTGGCCCTCGAGATTTGAGTGCAGGAACTACCGTGTACCGTAAGACTATTTTTGAATATTTGTCCGGCACAATCCAATGCATCGAGCACAACTCGTTAAAGTAGTAATGGAATTTGTACGTTAAAAACTCGGTTAAAAACACCGGGGAGCTGGGAGTCAAATTGGCCTCCGCGTTTCAATTAAAAAAAAATTGATTTTCCAGATCAGCATAAATTAAAATTGGATCAGCACAATTTAGCACAACACTAGCACTATTTAATAATTTTCATTACAGATTTTTTTTAATTGCGGTGGCTAACTTGATGGAGTTCTCTGGACCCTCAATAGACTTGTGCACAATTACAGAGTGAACCGCATAATGCTTTTTAGAGGTGCCCTTGCAGAAGGCTGGACTGTATTTACCGTTTTTTCTACTTCGATTTTGTTTTGTGCTTCATTTGAACTGTATCCTATTGCTATGCGTAAACTTAGGGCCGGTTGTATAAAGTGTAGTTGACTAAAGGTTGAAATTGAACTGGCGCGGCGCGGCGGTCGTGTGAAAAATTCTTTTGCATGAGCAACGATGACAGTTGGCGCAAACTCTGCGCAAACGGTATTCAAAGTACGGTACGGACAAAGATTCAAGCATTAAACTTAATATAAGGTAGAATGCTAGAAGAAGACTGACATTTTTTCTGCGTTTATTACTAAAAAAGTTATTGTAAACAAACCAAAAAAACCATTCCATAATTTTACACTTTTGCCGTTTAGTAACGATCCTAGAGATCGTTTATAATTTTGTCTGTCGTCTGTCTGTTGGTCTGTCCGTCTGTTCCTTTGTCTGTCTGTTCCTCTATCTGTTCGTGTGAACGATAACTTTGTTAGAAATGTCCGATCGCTTTGACATCTCCGTTAGTTATGAACTGAATTCCAATCCCAAAAATTGAGCCTAATCGATCAACATTCACAGTCCCTTTTCGCATCTCGACTATTTCTAAACCGAAACTATTTTATTTATGGAGGGATTTAAATGAAATTCGATACATAATCACATGGAATAAAAGCAAATGTAACGCCATTTCCAAAACTTGGTTTTGCGCATGCGCAGTGCCAACTTTCTTATTTATGGAGGGATTTAAATGAAATTCGATAGGTACATAATGACTTGGAATAAAAGCAAATGTAGCGCCATTTTCCAAATTTGGTTTTGTGGAGGATGTGCAGTGCCAACTTTCTTATTTGTGGAAGCAATTAAATGAAATTTCATGCATATACACAGATACACTTTAAATAAAAGCAAAACTAACATCAGGTTTAAAATTTGGTTTTGCACATGCTATAGCCATGTGTCCTTCTATTTGAATGTTTGTACATATGTGAATATTTGATTCTATGTGCAAACGTGCAATTAACGTAAATTCTAAAATGATTTTTTTGTGAATTTTAAAATTAAGGCTGATGTACCACTTCTTATGAGATGGTGATTAATCACTAGCAACTAACGAACTTTTTTTAGTTAATTCTTAAACTTAATTACGATCAATTAGTGTACTTGTTTAGCTAATCAAAAGTTATTTTTTCGTAGTTAAGTATACGGACGCATCACACTATATTCATGCTTTATGAAATTTATTAAATTTCTCCTAATACCCTCTTCCTTCGCTCGTACAAAAAAGGAATTTAAGTGACATGAATTGAACGTTAAATGGAACTTAATCTTCCTAAAATGTTAATCCTATTCAGCTTACCCAGATGATAGTGGACACTTGGACAGGTAATATTCTGTCTTACTATATCCACAAAATTCTGAAAACCTTTCAGTATCTATTGATGTAGAAAGCAACTATGCAAATTTTTGTTAAAAAAATATCCGAACTTCTTAATACGATTTGTAAGGGATGATAACCTCGATTGTGGCCTCCTCATGAGAATTATTTCTCCAGACGTTACAGAAAGTAAAAATCACGATGGGAGACATATTTCAATTTTTATTAAATGAGAAATGAATCTCGTTGCTGTACTACATCGAATTTGAATTACTGGATGGCGAATTCTGATTAACTACGTATTAAATTCTACGTTTACTGAATGTACTGAAAAGTGAAAACGAATGAGATGGGAATTACCTACCTACGAATATCTTAGAAAATGGTAAAATACAGTCTGTCGTGACAATGCTTAACACCCAAGGATGCTGAGAACTGAGAAGCATCTAATTATTTATCCTAGTAGCATTCCTTTATTTATCGCGACCTACTTGTTTGTTTACGAGGTGCTATTATTACATATAGGTTTGATTTTAACATTTATGTGACTTTTAATTCAAGAAGGAAGATAAAAATTATTAACGTTAAAGAAAATGATATTTGGTTTGTCTTAAAATTGGCGTTGTCGTTTTAATGATTATCGTTTTGTTTTAGGCAACAGGGTATTTAGTCACTTTCTTAGATAAGAACTCTTAATACAAAAACCCTAACACGAGGAGTGGTATAGAATAGAGGAAATCAAGCTACCCTACAACCTCGCCTACAACTTTCCTCGTAAAAGACAATCTGACTGGATTATACCAATGCGAAAAAAAAATCTATAAAAGTCATGTATGCAAACATCGAATCCGAGAGTTTAGTTTTTAGGTTTTCCTTTTTTCAAATTCGAATCACGGATTGTTCGCTTCTATCGCGAGTCTCAAGCGCGTTTTGTTAATAAGAATTAGGTACCTAATTTACTAATAAATCACTAAAGAAAATGACCGCTACTTAATATCACACTAATTTAATTAATACTTTGGATGCAGCACCAAGTGTCATTTTTTCTGCAATTTCATAGAATGAATTACCCCACGTAATTGTTTATCGGCTGATTTCGACTTTTCTTCTACTTCTACCACTAATGAAAACCGTGGGATTTATCTTTAACTTCGAGCTGACATAAATTAGTGCACTGAACCCTTCCTTATTGTTTGGTGTTTTTTGGTTTGCAATACATTCGTTGGTTCGTTAAAATTGAACTTTGATACGTCTAACTAAAATGCTCTTCATTCGATACATAAATGGGTTGAACTTGCATTGATTCTGATTATGTAATTTAGGAAAGCGCATGAAAGTAAATTAAGTTATTGCTATATGGCGCTACTTTCCTTTCTGTAATAACCATTTTTTTTGTCGATCAATAACATTGGGGAAAGAGTTTGCATAAAAGAATTATACAAGAAATGTAAAACTTTCATATCGGGACCTTGAATTTAATTGGAATAATTAGTCTTTATGTAATAGTTATGCATTGATAAACCCTATCATTAAAATTACTTAATTTTCCAACGCAAAATTATTGACGTTTGTTCAGTTCTCTACAAACAGTGGTAAAACAGAGATTTTGCAAGACACGAAGTTAGATTATCGTAATAAAAGGTTATAAACTGATTAGGTCACGTCTGAATTATGTTTTATGATCAGGGAAATAGGTAGATAATACAACGGAAAGAATGTACACCTGTTCACCCAGCATGAGTTATTGTGCTGGATTGTTTTAAATTTGGCGTTATGGGTTCCTTCAAGCTATTCGATACTGCAGGATTTTACGAAAATTACGTGCAGTTCTCATATGCATATATGGCTAGCCTTGGCTGTTAATAGTTTATAACTATCAGGTATAACCAATTGAAATTTAGATATAGACAGGCACTTAAAATTCACGACATAAATCTTTTTGTAATTGTTGCTTATTTGAAGGTAATTATGATGGAGTTAACCTTATTTCCGTAATAGATGTTAAAATTAATTATAGAACTAGCATTAAAATTTGTGTCGTTAAATTGTTTTGCTCTGCTTTGTCCTAAAAACCAGTGGGTTTCATTTTCTTCTTTATACTTTATGGAAATTCAATTTACATTAATACCCAGCTAACTGTTGCAGTGTAGCGTTGAACTTTCGTTTTGGATGCGAAGTACGATCGCTTTGATGCTGGGAACGAACCTTTTAAATGAATGAACTTTGTTATTTAATTTTGTTTTTCATGATTTCATTTCGAAATCGTTGCACTACCCTATAAGTAGGTTACGGTTTCAAGATTAAATGATTGAGGCACTTTTTGCAATATTTACCCCTCGATTTACCCACACTTTTTTTCGGTACACTAATTTTAGTATATGTCGCCTCTCTGCCACAGGTACTTCAACTTTATTGTTTGCTGCAATATATTTCATTCAACATAAATTAGACAACTTTATCTTGGGCACGATATTAATTATTATTTATTACTATTATTGTTAGCATTATCTCCTATACTGTGCGGTCAAAAATGAGTTGCTGTCGAGTCACCTTGGAACTTTTGTTTACATGGGAAATCGTATTTAACTTGAACTTCCAAAGGCGACTCGACAGCAACTCATTTTTGATCGCCCGTTATAAGAAGTTAATATTTGATTATATTGTACTCAATTTTACGTTTTGTTTGTACCCTGTGCTTCATATCATGTTTTGTTTGCAGATTTGGCCGCTATTAGAAGATTGCTAGATCTTGGTCAAAATGCAGAAAATTGTCCAAGTTGTAATATGCCATTTGACAAAGGCAAGAAGAGAAGACTAATCGATAATTGCGGACACGAACGCTGCTATTCCTGCATGTTTACAAATGAAGTGTGTCCGTTGTGTACAATTGAAGTGACAGATACCGGTGAGGCGATTATAATTAAACAATAAATTATTTCAAAATAAACACAACCATCCCATTCACATTTATCGTAAACAAAGATTTAAAGAAATTGTTGATGCGGCTAGCACTGAGAAAGATCGATTGTCACTAATCGAGTCGATATTTAATAATGGATTTATTTATTTCCTTTATTTATTTTAGCTTGTTCTCTTTTGACACTATACTGACACATATATGCAATGCAATTTAATACGTAGATTTATAGTACCTATTATATATCTTCTTGCTTCTGGCGTATTTCGGTAGCACTTTTTGCCGCAAATAAGTTGGTTATTGTGCACCAAGGCAATACATTTTGCAGTTTCCGCGACAAATGAATAAATAAATACTGAATTTTGGAGTAGGAATTTTCTTAATATTAGAAATTGTAGAAGGGCACACCCAAAGACTTAGAAGCATCTTTCTATCTGTTACAGTTCGGGATAAAAAAAATTAAATAAAACATCTAGTTGGGAGGTTCCATTTTTGACTCCCGTTTAACCACTACATTATTTTTTGTATTTTTAATTGTCTGTCTTCCAGCAGTGAAAACAATCGAATAAATATCATAGAAGTAATCAAATGAGCACGATAATCGATTATTTAATTATAGATTTTAGAACTTATTATCGCCCACTTTAGATACAGGACGAGTAGCTACATACCAGAATATTAATCAGTGGCGTTTAAGAAATAACTAAATAACAACATCTCATTTATTATGGAGAACGTTTCTTAATCTTGAATTTTTACCATCTGGTCCGGGCCCATTCCGTCCGGACAAGTATGATATCAAGTTTTGTGCGCACACTTATCCGGATGGAATCGGTCCGGAACGGATTTTTTCTTATGAATACTCTTCGGTCCTGGCCGATTCCGTCCGGGCAAAGTGTGCTTCAAGCTTTAAAACATTCTATTTTGATGAATTTTTAATGCTTCCGGATTGGAGGGAGTGCATCAAAGGTGGACAAGGGCTCCAAACGGATTAAAAATTGAAACCTGTAATCCGAATCAAAACACCGAGATACCGTGTTTGCGAAGGAACAGTCAGGAAACTCGACCAAGTGGTTCATGAGAGCGCACAATCGTGTCGGTAAGGGGGGAATTGGCAAAAAAAACTTACACGACTGCAGTAGCACCTCGTAATTCGCGGTTGTTCGATTTCGTTGTAATTGCAGGTAACGTCGTTAAACTGCCCTTCTTACGTTCATGTCCTATACTTTTTGATGTAGCAAAATAATTCGGTGTCAAATTTGCCATGGCTATCTTTTGGTTTTACCTAAACTTACCGAAACCTGAAAATGGAAAAACTGACCTTAGAGATTTTTACATAGAGTTCAGTGGCGTAGTTGCCCCTTGAAGTTGCTATGGTCTTTCACATACATAGTTTGTGTGTGAGGTCCAAGTTCGTGTGAAATCTTCAAATTTTTTTTATCCTCCCCGACTGTGATGGGGGGGAATTAAAGTTTTCAACTAAAGGAACTATTTTCTACCAACTACCGCTTTTTTCTCTTACCTTCTCGTGACCATATCTTTTTTTCCTATTAGATATCAAAAAATACTCCAAACCCAGGAATTGTGCATATTGTAGATAGACTTATTGCTTAATCTGCAATTTTGTCCATTGAATAATTGACACATTTCACTATAACTACGAACAGGTTCAATTTGCAACTGTTTACGACTGGCATCCTTCAAAATGTCAAATGTTGGACATTTTTTGTCACTACACTAAAAATAAATGTTTTTTTTCACTACTAGCGTCTGATGACATTTATTAACCTTTTTTCCACTTGTAAAGCAGGCTTTCTCGGTATTTGTTCAAAGTGGTTAATAATGTGGACATTATTAACCAGTAGTCAATAATGAGAACTGTCACGCTGTCACTTTTAGAAAACACAACCCGAAATTTCGCTCAATAAACGTTTGGACAAGTAAAGTAAAATGAAGAATTGCCACCATCCGCCATTTCCAGAGAAATTACATACCTAAAATTATCACATTTTGAAAAAATTCGAACGAAATTACTCTTTGAAAATATCTCAATGACAGTACTTCTACGTACCTGATTGACATGTTAAATTAATAAACAAAAAATTCTGTCCAACCGTTCCCTTCCTTATCAATATAATATGTTAATTTAGAGGATTTCAAGTGCTAGTAGTAAAAAAATAGTATATATACCACGGTAGAGAAGTCTATTATTGCCTTCGCACCTTACACCCCTCGGCGCAAGCGCCTCGAGATGTAATCTTGGTGCTCAGGCAATAATACTGTACTTCTCTACCTTGATATATAATGTACTATTTCCATGTCGTAAAGTATATGAAAAGGGACTACCCTATGCTAAAAATATGAGGGGAGGGGGCTATTTAAAAATTATGGATGACGTCATAGATCCGTCAAATATGGCTCAAACATTTTCCACCTAATGTTACAAAATGGCAATGTACTAATCGACGTGTTTTTGAATTTTTTGCGTTTTTTTTTGGAACGCACTGTTTATTATAGCGTAGTTGTTATAGAGCTCGTTACAATTATAGAGAATTGATGTGGATTTATTCAACAGCTTCGGAAACACCAACTTTACAACTTTGATTGTGACTGATTGTGTAAGTTTTGGCCACGTCATAGTATAGTACAAAATTAACCTATGTTTAGCGTACCTAGTGGATATCCGAGACTAAACTTGAGCACTCAAAAGTCGTAGAAAGCTCGCTAATTTTCCATTTAGAGATATGTGATCAATAGAACTGTGTTAATCATTATTTCAATCGTGCAGTTGCACGAGTTTTTCCCGAGAAACATCGTACCTATACTATCAATTAATAGCAGTAATAGAGAATTTCACACAAACTTTACCATTTTAACACACAATAAGCTGCAACCGTGATTTATAGGAACTAAATTTTTAGCTCTTTCTAAGTCACCGTCGTACCTGAAGTCGCACTTCAAAGACAAAGTAAAATCGGTTTAGAAGTGAATATTCAGCAGACAAACATACTACCCAAAAACCTGATATGAAGATGCTTGTAACGTTAAATAACATTTATGTCAATGCACAATTAGAGACCTTATTTGCAAAGGTACATGGAATTTTAATTTGTCATTGTCGAGGTCATTGTGCTGTCATACTCTCTACAGCAGATAGGTAAAGTAGGACGTAGTACTTAAACTTGCTAAAACAATTTCGGGTTTCCTAATAAATCAAAGTCTTTGTAACTACCATTTACGGTACTGTGTTTGAAAGAAAGTTCCGTCATTACTTAAGGAATGTACGCTACTGCCTACTCTACCGGCGGTAAAGTATCACATATTTCATATCTCGCCACTAGTGTTCAGTTTTTCTCTTAACCAGTTTTTGAATTCAAAAGGAACATTAGACATTAAAAGTATACAAAAGAAACTATTATTAAGGAAGAAGTAGGGCTAACAAAAGAGAACGGTTAAATTGGAACACCCGTAGAGTGTAATTAGCCGCCAGATTTCTACTCATCCTATTCAAAAGATGCTCACATTATTCACCATTCTTTAAAAAGAATGAGACAACAAATCTTATCTTCCAAATTTCACATGGTTGAAGACCAGGTACAGGTTATAAATTTCACAATAAATATATATTGTGTATTAATCTTAGCGCATGTCATGGCGCTAAAATCATAGTGTCTATAGCCATTTTATTGTACTCCAGTTGTAAAGTGTTTCGGTGAAAATTTCATAACCTATCTTTGTGAACTCTTCGCACGCCAAAACTAAAATATCATGAAAATACGTGAATATTTGCTTATGTCTAAATATTTTACATGAGTCTATTAAATTATAAAAATAGGGAAATTATGTAAATTAGTAGCTACGTTTTAAAAGTTTTTAGCATTCAATAATTGTTCTGGTTGTAGATCACTGTGGTTTTCTCGTTGTGACCATCGACATAATATAATAAATGGACGGCGCGTGTCAATGCTAAGCGGATGCTACATGCGAGAGAGAAGGGAAAACTAAGGGGGCAAGCTGTCTCTTACGCTCTTACTGTTACGCATCTGATTGGTTGGTCAACAGAAGCGATCGCGATCGCATTCAAATTAAATTGAAAAAATGAATCAGATGCGTAACCGTAAGAGACAGCTTGCCCTCGTAGTTTTCCCTTCTCTCTCACCTGCAGTATACGCGCTTATCATTGACATGCGCACAAAAACACAACGAAAACACTTGTAAGTTTTGAAAAATACTGATTTTAATTTGTAAAAACGCATTCGTATGGAGCCAGCTAAAAGGCCGAATATAGACAGGTCTGGCTTGGAATAATTTTTGCAATGTTATAGCCAAGCCATTCGTTTTTGTCTCGGTTTTTGTGATAACTGTCAAACAAAGGCAGACGAATTGCATAATTCGTTTTCGATAACCGCCGAAAACTTTTCACACACACACACACACTCGGTTCACATCGGGTTTGATTCCAAATCCGAATCATCGAATATTTCGTCGCCTAACACTGCCTGTGCACAACTGAGAAAAATTTCAATATCAAGTAAATCACTCATTGCGAACAATACAATTTAAAATAAAAGACCAGCAAATTGGATGTTTTATTCTTGGTCTTTTATTTTAAATAATGAAATTCAAAATAGAAGAGTTCAATGACAAAATACAATTTAAATTTAAAAGTGAATAGCTATTTATATAACAAGAGCGCGAAGTTCAATTTCGAGCATTGAGACTGAAGGTAGACAGAGTCAAATGCGCTAAATAACTTCGCGCTGGCGTTATATCATTGAGTAATTTATTATCCTTCACTCAACGGTTATATACAATATACTGCACCGATTGTTAATTAAATTTGCTGTTTAAGTTCAACCTTGTCATGTGTGCGAAATGCTCACTGTTGATGTTTTCGAGCACGTTGCTGGGTACCGCTCACTAGAGCGAACCGCACTGCAGCACAGCGGAGCGCATTTCCGTGCCTATACGCACATAGAGCGCGCTGC